TTATGTGAAAGCCTCAATTGATCAAGGCCATAACAAGTGGCAGAGGTCAAGTCTATGTATCCATCTAATATCATATAGGAAACAGTGACTTGCTTCAAAGAGGAATGAATGATAAAATTATGAAATAAATAAATAAATATGCTGTATTTCTGTGAAACTAAGAGACAGGGCAAAGACACTTTTAATTTGAATGAAGGTGGTTTTATCTTATGGAAATGGTAAAGATACAAAGGAAAGTGAAGGTATAAGATTCTAATCTATAAGATTAGAAATCCATAATTATGATGGTCATGTTACATACTGGTGAATGTTCTTAATGGAAGAACCCAAATCAGAAATATATTTTTGGGAAACATGTACATTAGATAAATGCACACAAGTTTCTTGATCTGGTCTACCTAGTGGATTTAAGATCAGATCTATAAGTGGATCAGGCAGATGCCTCTCTAGTTCACTGAACTCTAAGGAGGAAAAAAGGTAGAGCACAAACAAACTTAGAAGATTCTTTTTATTACAGCCAATCTGAATAAAATTAATTTTAGCCATCCTGTAGGTTGATCTGAGCAATCTAGTGGGCTGTCACAAAATCAGAATGTATGGGGAAAAAATGTCAGGCCGTTTTTGGAGATGGAAGAATGGGTAAGAATAGTGACTGGTCAGTAGTTGTTCAGGAGCAAGTCTGTTTGGAATTTGTGCTTTAACCATAAATTTATTCATATATATGTGTGACAAGGGAATTTAAAAGTATGATTTGATTGGAAAGAATTATTTAAAAAGAATTAGCAAACGATACAAGAATTCAAGAGGCCTTGAATGTGGATTAGTGAAGTAGAGGATTTAGAACCTGCTTGGAACAGAATAAAAAAAATTGTTACACACTGCCACAGAATGATGTTATGATGTTATGTTATGCTTGTATAAGTAGCTTAGGGAAGGCTACTTGACGGAACGATGAACTGTGAGTTGAGCTGGAAAGGTGCAAAACAAGGAGTTTGAAATGGAATGAAGAGTTTTGTAATCAAAAGCTACTTGAAGGGACAGTGCCAGGAAGATCTGCAAGCAGTTTGTTGCAAAACAGAAGAAAACAGCTCAGAATTTAAATCCAGGGATATGCACATAAATACCATTAGAGTCCTCACTTACTAGCATCACTTTATTTTTGTATAGCTCCTTGATTCTGTAATAAAAGTATCATCACTTAAGTCAAGTCCAGACTCTGAGTGAGTGCCAAACTCCAGAAAAAGGAATATTGCAAAAGACCACTATCTAACAGTGCAGGCATAAAAAAAAATATCGGTACAAAAGATAAAGGAATAAAGGCAGAGATAGCTACAAAGAATATTATCAAAGAAAACCTGGAACGATGACGTTGAGGACATAAATGCATATATGACTTTGATGTGTTGTTGTTGGAGAATGTTTTATAGACTATAATATTAATTTTTGAATGTACTTTTTGAATGTTTTTTAATTGTTTTTATGGTTGTTTTGTATACTGCCAAATTTACACTACCACACGTGAGATGAGTGGCCATATAAATATGATCAATAAATAAACCTGATATTTTGCATTAATTGTTAGAGAAACTACATTTCATGAGGAGTATAGATATGAAAATGAAATAACAAGAATTGTCTTTGAAGGGAAAATGAGTAATTGCATTTATACATAAATGAGAGTTACAGCAAGTAAGTGAATGTCTGTAGAATGTTTTCCATGTTAAAGATGGAAAAATGGGTAGACCAATATTAATCAATGCTGGTGGAAGAGTAATGACTTGTAAGGAATTAGTATTTGTCAAAAGAAATTACAATGGCTTTGTTATATTAAAGTAAGTATTGTATATAAGAAATGTTGATTGAAGCAGGAATGGGATACCAAAGAGAGAGAGGGTGGTTGAGAAAGATATTGCAGCTCTTGTTTTGAGGATCTCATAAACTCCATTTAACAATTTCTGATTCTTCTTCATCCTTTTGATATCAATTCCAAAATTGGAAAGTTGGGCTAAATTAAATAGCAACATCCCTGACAAATTATCTTCATATTGGCAGTAGAGGAAAAAGATCTCACTATGTCCTGAGACAAGTTGTTTAGTCATGCAGTACTTAATGTTAAGAAATTTCTTCTAATTTAATATGGGATTTTCCTTTCTATTATGTCTTGTTATGACAAAAAATATTCAGTTTTTTTCCATTTTCATCAAAGAACCTGATTTCTTGAATGCTTTCTTCTTCACACAGACTTTCAATTGGTTAACATTCTTGTTAAAACTTGGCACCCAGGACTATCTAGAATGAGGAAATGTTTTGTGAAAATCTACATAACATTGTGCCTCACTTGCTATTATATGCATAAAGGTAGTCCTCGACTTACGGCCACAATTAAGCCCAAAATTTCTGTTAAGTGAAGCATTTGCTAAGTGAGTTTTGCCTCATTTTACGATCTTTCTTGCCACAGTTGTTAAGTGAATCACTGCAGTGCACAAGTTAATAACATGACTGTTAAGTGAATCTGGCTTCCCCATTGATTTTGCTTGTTAGAAGGTCACAAAAGGGGTTCACATGACGCCGGGACACTGCAATAGTCATAAATATGAACTAGTTGCCAAGCATCTGAATTTGGATCAAATGATCATGGGGCTGCTACAAAAGTCGTAAGTGTGAAAAATGGTCATGTCACTTTTTTCAGTGCTGTTGTGACTTTGAGTGGTCACTAAATGAACTGTTGTAAGTCAAGGACTACCTGTACTTATAAGCCATGTTTGATCATAATTGGACTTTTCTGTCATTAATTTTTAAAATAACACAATCTGAATAGTTAAATACAATATTTTTGTACTTATTTCTTGAAATATTTTTATGAGTTTGATTCAACTCTCCATTAGCAGCATGCCTGAAAACAGCACATTTCCAGCACTGATAACATTTGTTCAGAAAGAAATTCTAGTATGAACCTTTGCACATTTATATAAACGAGTTCATAAACATAATAACAGACGGTGACATTCAAACAATCAAATCCAGTTTCCTATTTTGTGCAAAAATCCAAATTAAAGTATTTACTTCGGAAGGTCCATCCTCTGCTTAAACAGATCCATTGAAGACAACAGTAGAGACAGTCCTCGACTTATAACCACAATTCAGTCCAACATTTCTGTTACTAAGTGAGAGATTTGTCTTGATACAGTTAAGTGAATCATTACAGTTCTTAAGTTAGTAACATGGTTGTTAAGTGAATCTGGCTTCCCAATTGACTTTGCTTGTCAGAAGGTCACAACAGATAATTATATGATCCCAGGACATTGCAATAGTCATAAATATGAGGCAGTTGCCAATCATCTGAATTTTGATCATGTGACCATGGTGATGGCAATAGTTGTGTCATAAGTCACTTTTTCAGTGGTTATAACTTTGAATGGTCACTAAATGAACTGTTGTCAAGGACTACCTATACTCTCTTTTTATGTAAATAATTCCCCTGCCAAACCACTCTGTTCTGGTCATTTGAGATAATAAATGTCTTTCTTCTCTATAACATGCTTTCAGGTATTTGAAGAGTGATGCTATGTATCTCTTAGGCTTCTAATTTCAAGCCTAAACATTCCCATTGCCTTCTACCTCTCTTCATAGGCTTAGCTTTAGTCTCCTGATCATTTTCATTGCTCTTCTTTAAACTTGTTCCAACATTTCTGAATATTTCTTACAGTGTGTCGCTCATCACTGGATGCTGTACTCAAGATCAAATCTGACAACCAGAAAAAAATGGAATAATTACTTGCCATATTAACCCATGGGGGGAAAATAAGTTATTTCCAGCTAAACGTTTATAACATTTTATATTCTTCGTTCCTACAAGAACTGAAGCTAATAGATTTTTTTCTTTTATTCTTGAACATCCTCACTGTAACAGATTAAGCTGAGCAATTATGAATGGCTGAAATTTAGCTCTAATTGAACATTCTAATATTCAAACATACATACTTATCACAGATATCAGTTACATTCATCATTAAGTTGACATGCAGAAACCTCCGAAATATATTACAAAAGACTTCTGTTCGCTAAAGTGTTTTAAAATTGTCTATATTCACTGTCCTTCACTTAGCACACTGTTGCCAGCAATATTCTATCTTTATTGTATAAATTCAGCCTGTGTTCTTTGCATTCGGCTTTAGGCAAACTCAGAAAACTGAGTAGAAAAAAATACGGTTGTTAGACATGGGTCATGCAAATAGAGCCTATTATTGATGCAACAGACCTGGGAGGGAGGTTGTCTCTTATAGACCGTGTCTAGCCAGTTTCATCAGAATTGAATTTAACCAGAGTCCAAACCCGACTTTATATATTAATAATGTCCAGATATCTAGATTTTATTTTTTGTTAACTACGACAGGAACAAAGCAGGAAATAAGCACCGAAATAACAAGATAGTTCTTCTACCTCGTCTCCATATATACCTCGGGATCCCTAACTGTAAAGCGTCGCACGTTGACAACTTTGCTTTTCTAAAGTGCGTCTCCAAAAGGAAATGTACGCATGCGTAGCGTACTCGTGCTAGAGCTCGTACAAATGTGTCGCAATAAAATATCTCCCTCAGATAGCAATAAGAGGAGGCCTTGTAATTTTTCATGACAAGACCTCCTCTTATTGCTTATTGGCGGCGAGTAAAGGGGCGTGACAGGATATGTAAATAAGAACCCGGCTTTTGCAGGCGGAAGCAAGGGAAGGGGGGAAATGCAACCGGCATTTTTCGTAAATGGCGGAGAAGGAAGAGGCGTGGCTACGTAGGAAGTCAGGGCCAGGAGGCGGGAGAACCAAGAGCTGGTGGGCGTGGCCTACATGCAAATATAAGCACAGATATTACTGATTGAAGGAGAGGCAGATAATAGGTTGGGTTATGGAAAGAAGGGCGTTCTTATCTCGGATCTGTCGTCTAGCCTCCGAAGCTTCATTTAGCTCCGCCCCACCATTTAAAAGTCGCGGCGCCTGCGCAGTGAGTGGAAATGAGGACTTAGTCTGTTACACAACTGACTGGGCTGTTTAGGGAGCTGTGGTTTCCCTTTGGCCTCAAGTCCTTCCCTCTCCCCGGGTTTTTCTTGCTTGCGACTGTGGTATAGGCATGAGTGGGGATCAGCTGCATAACGACTCCCAGGTAAGGGGGCTCTCATTTTTCTAGTAGTTAATAGGGGAAAGAAAGAAAAATCTGTGGACGTTGAGGCCTTTCCTTTCTCTCTTTTGAGGGAAAAAGTGGGGGATTTCTGATGATGGAGAAGAAAGGTTTATGCCCATAATTTAGCCGTTCCTCAGAAAGACTGAGGTGGTAATATTTTCAGGCCAGGTACAATTTGCTAGATACTTTGGGGACGGGGTGCTACTCCCAGGTTTTTTTCGGAGGTGTCTTTTTGTGGAGGGGAAAACGTCCTGTTTCCTTGGCTCTGTCCATGGGCCCTTAATCATATTACGAGCTTTTGGCCTCTGGCCTCTTCTCTGTCCCCTTGCTTCTCTCCGGGGTTCCCTTTAAGTTACGTTTTATTCCAATAAGCCCTGATTAAACTGGCCCCCATTCCCTAAAAGGGAAAGGGTCCCTAAGGTGGCCAGTTCTCTGTCTTTGCCAATTTCTTCCCTCCGCTTGCCGGACATGGGGGACTCGTAAAAGAGAGTGGGGGGGAGTGTGGGGGGGGGGAAGTCTGAGGAAACCTGGGAATTGAGAGCTACGCACGAGGAGGAAGGCAATTAAAACTGGAGGGCAAAACTTCGGTGAGGATGGTGGGGGAAGGGAGGTGTAGTTAAAATCGCAATTCGGTCTTTTTTTTTTTTAGTCGAGGTATTTATGTACGGTCCTTAGGAATGATTTCTTCCCCCTTATCCAGGCCTAGCTTGTTAAAAAAAGCACGTAGTTTTTGTGTGAAATCATTCCTTGGTCCTGGGATGCCTTTTTAAAACGTATTTTCCCATTTTCTTTTTTTTAATAATAGATTGATCCAGATTTCCGAGCGAATGGTGAGTGTCTTTTCCTTAACCTTGTAAAAGCGGGGAGTGGGATTGTTTTTTTTTCCCCTCCGCTTTCTCTTTTTCTCCCCTCTCCCCTTCTCTTGCATTGCTAAGGATAGTAAAGGACAGACATGGCGTCCCAGAGACTAAGTCCCGTCTCCTCGCTCACCGGCCCCATTGTTCCCATCGAGGTTCCTAATTCTCCGAAATCTTAAGACCCTCAGCCTTTCTGACATAGTTTGTCCGCAGTGAGGGCAATTGAGACCCTAGATCAGTCTTCCTTTGTTTTTTAAAAATCTCTCTTGGGCCTCTATTCGCCCTGGAAAGTCGCCTTGTCGACGGTCGGGACTTAGTCTCTGCGCCATTTTCTTTTTCTCTCTCTTCCCTGTGTGTGTCTTTCTCCTTCTCCTCCTCCCTCGAGCTGCCTAGAAGGAGCCTTCCGCAGTCAAAACATACGAAATAATCAACATCCATGTTTAAGATATCCTTTCTGAAAAGGGGGAAACATCGCTTGGTTTTGGTTTTCATTTTAAAAGCCTGACTTTGTCGCTTGGTTGTCTTTTTTTTATTCATATCTCCTCCCCAGTTCCTTCTCCCCCAGGTCTGTTTCTTTCAGTCCATTCCATTTCCTTCCCTTCCCCCTATAACAAAAGGTGGTTGCAACATGTTGCTTTTGAACAGATTCTCTATCTCTTTGAGTAAGGAACCTATTTAAGGTCTAAATGTAGAAACTGGTTGGGTGGGGTTTCTGTTTTAATATCCCGAAATAAAATGCCATAAAACTCAGTGGGTGGTTTTAGGATAGTATCCCACATCACTTTGGTAAAGTTTAATGGTTGGTGCAGGATATTCTTTTGTCTTCGGTTTGAGAAAGAATATATATAGTGTGTATTTTTTAAAAAAAAAAAAACCCTGTATGATATATGAATGGGTAGAGGAAGTCATTATCTTATGAACGGCTTTGTCACTTTGGATAGCAAGCTTTCCCAGCCCTTTGAAAGAAGAAAATGAGACAAAAAGTTGGAATAGCATATCTGTCAAAAATGCCAAGATGGTTTGCTCCACCTTTTAAAAAGGTGATTTTGCTAGAATTCAGCTCTCAGACGCTGTATGGTACTGGGTATTTTGTTTTCATAAAACATTGCCATATTCTAAGTAACATACTTAAACACTTGGTTACTAGTGGACTCTGTCACCTACATTCCTGCTGTTGTGTAAGACATTTCTGATACAAAAACAGTATATTAAGGTATGCAGATGTGGTTTCTTTCTTTATACAGATGTATTTAATTGGAGAGATTTAAAATTTTAAAAGAATATCCTTGATCCCAAAATGAAGTTTATAGAACTGCTTAAATTTAAGCATGAAGGTTATTTTTTACAATTGTTAAACAGAAGATAATCCCGCACATGAATTACATATGAATACATATGTTTAAAATTTGACTTGAAAGTGTTTCCAATGCTCTGGCTATCCTTTTTTTAATTGAATAATAATTCAATTGAAACTATGTTGAGTCAGTTTCTGGCTTAATGTATAATGTATATTGGAGGATCTAACTCATGTGTTTTGTTGTCCAGGCACATAATTGTCATACTAGCTCTTTTATCTCAACATAGAATTGACAACTAATCTTTTGTATCTTGTTCTTGGAGATGTTTCTAGTTTATTTCTATTGGCTATTTCAAGCAGAAGGGATACATATATAATTTTTCTTTCTATTATAGATCCAATCTTTCCCTCAACTGTTTTATCATAGTAATTAATAGTCACAAGTTTTAATATTGTTTAAGTAATAACAGTGGCAGTAGCCATGTCCTCTCTGACCTTGCTGCTAAGACAAAATTTGCTTTCATGTTGTTTTCTACCAATCAGTAAGTATACACTGTATGTTTGCTACAGTATATTATATATTGCTCCTGATTTCTCAGTCTATCATTGCCTTCTGCTGTTAGTGTTTTCAATATCCATTTTAATGTGCCCTGGTGTTTTATCTAAAAGTTATTTTTACATATTTATTTGACTTATGCATGCCATTATTATAAAGATGTTATGTATTTTTTTCATTTTACTAATTATAAACTGATTTGGTACAATTTTATGCTGACAAAAGCCTCCTAATAAGTAGTTTTAAATTAGTTTAATTTTCATCACTCTAGCATGTTTATGGAGTTTTCCATTTCCATTTCTCTATTATCTCTGCTGATAAAGTTTCTTCAGTTCTAAAATTGCAAAATGTTTTTAAAATGCAAAATTGGCAAGCTATTGTCTCCTTACATTTATTTAAAAATAGCTACTGATTAAAATAACATTCCCTATTTTTCAACATATATTAGCTATTAATATGCAATTACAGTATCTGTATTCATGTGATGAATGCTCATTTGATATACTGTAATGTGCTGCTAAGCCACCTTATATACATAGTTTCAGATTTTATAAGCTAAGGAGAAGTATAGCTAGAATTTTTGTTATTGATGGGAGATATACAGGGAATCGGACTGGTATTTATATAGTAGCTTACTTGCAAATAAAATTAAACTATAATGGCTTCAGAAACAAAGTGATTTTAAAGATTCTGACTGATATAACTTTGATATCTTAGTTAGATTGTCAGTATTTAAGTAGTTTCCTAAAATGCAATTTATATGATTTTTATTGGATGTTATGTTTTTAACTTAAGATTCTTCTACATATTCTTAAAAGCATTAATATTCTTATAAATATCTAAGATTTATTTTGGTTGTTTAGAGGATTCTTTCTCACTACACAGATACATGTTTGCATCAAACACTTAAGAAATTTTATTAAACATTTGAGTAAAGCACCAAGGAAAATCTTTCTAGATCTTGACCATTTTAGGCCAAAGAAAGATTTGCTAATTTAATTCCCTATATCTCTCCTCCCCAATTTAATATATGGTATATTTTCAACCAACATTGCCATTTTGAAAGCTAATATACATGTTTAACTACATACAGAGTGTTGTTAGCTCATAGATTGCCTCGACTATGTTCTGTCAGAGTGCAGTTCTGAAAGCACTTTAGCCATCTGCTCATGTTGTAGAGCCATAGAATTCAAAGGACTAGAGGTCAACTAGTTCAGTCTGCTGCTCAGTGCAGGAGCCATAGAACATTTCTGACAGATGACAATGCAGCCTCTATTTGAAGGACTCCTAACTTTGTTTTGCAGCCTGTTCCACAGATGCAGGAGATTACGTTTCTCCTTTTTTAAAATTCATCTTATTTATTTCAACAGGCTCAAGCCTGTTTACATCTTTTTGAATTTTCTCTTTCATCAAAATATTAATGCTATCTATTCTGTTCATCTGCAAACAGCTTCCCTCATCCAAATTACTGATTAAAAATGTTCACCAGCAAGACAGGGCCATGTGGCATTCTATTGAATAGTTCTCAAGATGAATTGGTGCCTTTGAGTACTGAACCATCCAGCAGTATCATCTTCTAATCCTTATTTTATCATTTTGTAAAGGAAAATTTAGTAAATTTAGTAAGACTGCTGAGGTCCAGATACATTATGTCTGCAGCATTCCCTTGGCCTACATACTCTGCCAAATAATAGATTAACTGTATGTCTGGCAAACTCCTGCTGGATCTTGTTAATGCTAACGTAAGATCTGCTCCAATGTAGATGTCACACTGACAGGTCTGTGGCTTCCTTGGTTGTCTTCCTTTCTCTTTAACAACTGGGTGACAATTACTATCTCCTGGGACTTCACCAATCCTTAGAATAACTAGATTATGAATAGTAAAATAGATCCATTGCAAACTTAAAACAGCATAATGGACTTTTATAAGAATATGCTCAGTATTTTACTCTAATGATTGTATCTTTATTCTCTATTGGAAAACCTGGAAACTTTATCCAGTTATGGTAGAGAATTTGATTCCAGGATTTACATCATCTTTCAGGATGTAATTGGTTAGGGGACTAAAGCTAAATAATGTGGTTAGGATTTTAAAATCATTACATGGTGAGCATTTGGAAGTAAATGACCCCTGTCGTAATGAGGACAGGCATTGGTGTTACATGTGTTTTAATAATTCCATGGAAATTACTCTTCTGCAACATGAATTTGCATGTCAAGCCAAGGAAAATTTCTGAAATCTATTTCAGCAGAATTTTTTCCCCAGCTAACGAGTGTATGTGTTTGAATTCCTCTTGCCCTTCAATATCTGCATTGTTTGCAAAGCGTGGCTGTTTTTTTTTCATTTTACAAATAAAGATTTGGAGCTGCTAAGAGTCAGTAACCCTGATTCTTTCAATGACTTTTGTAATGCATAAGACTTTGTGTGTGTTTTTAAGGGAATAATAAATTTCAACTAACTTGCAATGCATTCTCAATAAAAGTTATTGAATGTGATCTGATTTTACGAGATATTATCTCAGTAATACCAGTACATTATTTTTTGAGGTTTGAACAAATCATCTGAACCTCTGACTTTTTTGAAGTACATATTTGTAAGCACTTCTCACTTAAGTATATATGCAATATAATTTGAACCATGTTTATTTACATGGAAATAAGTTCTAATTATAGCAGGATCCATTTCTTAGTGTTGTGGAGGTGATGGTCAGCAATTTGGATGGCTTTAAAGAAGGATTAGATTGACTGTCAATGATTACTACTCAAGAAGATGGCACAGTAATTCCAGAATCAGAAGCCATGCAAATTGCAGACAAACTTAAGGAGTATATTGCTGCATATGTCCTATTTGTAAACTTACAGCATTTTGTTGTTATTACTGTAGCACAGTATTACTCAATATATTTAGGAGACCTAACAAAAGGGCCTTGCATATAAAAGATATTAAAAAGATGTTTAATAAGATGGATAAAATATTCATTTGTAAATAGTGATAAATAGTGTAAGGATATTACAGATCATATAGATGACTTAAATTAATTTGTGTCCAAACTCAATATTCAAACAGGAATATCTGTGTTTAGTGTTGTTAGAAGATAATTTGCTTGCAGTTTCCTAAAT